GGAGTGGGGCGGGTAGTTTAAAATGGGTCGCGGCCGGGTTCATTAAAGGGTTGGGCTGCTGAGAGGGGAGAGGGTGTGGGCTTAGGATTTGGGCCAAGATTGGCCGAAAATTAGCCTAGAATTGGGCTAATTTTTAAATAGGAGATTAAAAGGAAAATAATTTAATAAAAATAATTAAATAAATATATAAAAATTCTATTTATGCAAATTAATACTTTAAAATAATAGTAGGAGATTACAAAAATATAAAATATTATTTTGACCCTGACCAAAATGACAAATGCAAAATATAGGCTATGCCTCTAAGATTGTGCAAATAGCTTAAAATACCACTGTAATTATAAAATAAAGTGAAAATATTTAAAATATGTATTATGGATGCAAATAATAATTTTAGGTACTTAAGTCATCCGAAAATAATTTTAAAGGATAATTATTAGATATTTATAGAATAAAAATGTAGAAAGGAATTAATTTTTGAGCTTTAAAAATTATGAAAAATTATAGAAACTAGTATAAGAACCCGCGCGATGCGCGAATAATTTGATAGAATATTAATCTTATAAAATTATGATCTAATATATCATATTAACTTAATAAATATTAGTTATATTTTATTATTTAATATAATGTGCAAAAATATGACACAATCTATACAAAATTAAAGGATACACATCATATAGTAATCAAATAAATTGTTGGATCTTTTTTATTTTTATTATTGAATTAGCAAGTACTTAGTACTATTGATAATTTTCTTAAGTGTTATTTATTTATCTTTTATTTTTTAACTAATTTAAAATATAATAAAATTATCTCTACCCGTACATTCCTTTCTACTGTAATACTTATTTGATTAGTTTTCAAATTTTGTAATTTATTAAAAATTTAGNAATTTTTATTATATATTTTTATTTTTTATTATAGCTATATATATATATATATATATATATATATTTTAAAATATTTGTAAAACTCCAACTTGAAACTACTCCCCAATTTGAATGGGTAATTTTTTTCCTTTTTTTATTATAGCTATTTTGTTTTATTATTTTAAAATTCTGTAAAACTCCAACTTGAAACTACTCCCCAAGTTGAATGGGTAGTTTTTTTTTCCTTTTTTATATTATAGCTAATTATAAGATATATTTATTTATTAATTTAAATAGAGTAACCAATTTATCCAAAATTTATTTAATTTGAAAGGGAGTAACTAAAATTACTCCCCAACTTGAATAGGTAGTTTTTTTGTTTTTTTAATATTTTCATTTTTACTGGAGCTAATTTAATTTTTGCTTATTTGTTGTTTTTAAATTTTAAAATAATTTTAAAACTCCAACTTGAAACTACTCCCCAATTTGAATGCCACTTGAAATATATTTTGTCTTAACAACGCCACTTGACTTTTTGTATTTTTCATTTGAATTGAAAGTTTTTGTATTTCTTTATTTTCGTTTTTTATTTTAAAATAATTTTAAAACTCCAACTTGAAACTACTCCCCAATTTGAATGGATATTTCTTTTATTTATATATTTCCATTTTTTTATTATAGCTAATTTTATTTTTTCATTTATTTTTTATTTTAATATATTTTTAAAACTCCAACTTGAAACTACTTCCCAATTTGAATGGGTAACTTTTTTTCGATTTTTATTATAGCTAATTATAAGATATCTATATTTATTAATTCAAATAGAGTAACCAATTAATTCAAAATTTAAAATTCAAAAGATATTTTAGTTAGAAATATAGTTTATTTTGTCTTAAAACTCCAACTTGAAACTACTCCCAAATTTGAATTGGCAATTTTTTTTAATTTCGTTTTTAATTTAAAATAATTTTAAAACACCAAATTTGTTAGAACTTTGTCCTAAATATTTATACTTAGCGTCTCATGGTTATACCACTTGGCATCATATAATTATTTACTTTCTCTTTTTGTGTGTGTGTATGTGTATGTGTGTGTGTGTGTGTGTGTGTGTGTGTGTGTGTGTATATATATATATATATATAACTACTATATTAGAAAGAAACTACTCCCCAATTTAAATTGGTAATTTTTTATTTCTTTATTTCCGTTTTTAAAAAAAATAATTTTAAAACTCCAAATTGAAACCAAACCCCAATTTGAATTGGCAATTGTTTATTTCTTTATTTTAAAATAATTTTAAAGCTCCAACTTGAAACTACTCCTCAACTTGAATAGGTAGTTTCTGTTTATTATTAATATTTTCGTTTTATTTATTGTAGCTAATTTTATTTTTCTTATTTTTCGTTTTTAAATTTAAAATAACTTTAAAACTCCAACTTGAAACTAATCCCCAATTTGAACGAATAGTTTTTTTAATATATTTTTATTTTTAATATAGCTAATTATATGATATTTATATTTATTAATTCAAATAGAGTAACCAATTAATTCAAAATTTAAAAAGGTTTTTCTAGTTAAAAAGTTAGTTTGTTTTTGTCTTAATAATGCCACTTGGTTTCTTATGGTTATGCCACTTGTCTTAATAATGCGCCTTTGCCTCTCCTTTTATTATATATAGATATAGATGCTTGTAAACTAAGTAATGACATAAAGTGATATTTTGAAAATATATATACTGTTTGAGAAAATATGAGGGTAAAATTGGGTATCAACAGTAGATGATCGATGGTGAAGGTGCAAGAATCGATTTTATTTACAAAAAAATTGGAGGAGGATCACGATCCTCCAAAGTGAAGGGTGAATTTGGCCGAGACATACCTCGTACCTCTTGCAGAAGTTTATGATGACCGGATCCACCGGGCCCAGTGTAAAGGGATAAGTGTAGATACTTAGGTATCCCTCAACGTGTGTAGTAATGGCTTCCTCAGAGTCGGGGACCACTGGGTCTTTATTGGCCCAGTTACAGTCCTTTCAGACTAAGGGGAGATCGTCTTTGATGATTGAGCAAATAAATCTCAATGCCTCCTCACACCGACCCTGCACCGAGGAGGGTTTCTCGACCTTGAAGTTATCGGCAATCGAATAACCTCCGGGAATGAAAATCTTTAAAGGAGGTTCGGGATCCGGTTCATCGATGGCCACGTTAACAGCGGATCCCCGAGGTCGACCACATCGGGAGTGGTCTCATTAGTTTCAGCAGTCGTTTGGGAGGTAGAAGTAACCTTTTGGGGAACAAAATTTGAGGTTTTGGCCATTGTTCTAAGAGAAAGCTTGAAGAAGATGGAAAAAGGGTTGAAAACTGGAGGCTCATATGTGTTGGCTTGAGTGGATGTTGAGTAAAAAATTCAAAGGAATCTCGAATACCGGAGGTAAAAATGCTAGAATGTGAAAGAGAGTAGTGAAATCGTGAGGGTACGAGGGTAGACGGTTTAACGCAAAGTAAAAAATGAACGAAAGAGGGGTTATTTATAGTGGTGTCGTGATGATTCGCCTCCAGGACAACCAACCGACGACTGACATGTATTTAATGCCATTATGACATGACTGATGAGACGTTTTGGGTTTTTGTCATTTATGTCACGGTGTATCGAAGAAGCAATCGGGACGCTCATGTCATTTCTCATCAACTTACTTTCCGAAAAATGAGGGGACTACCTGTGTACGAAAAAAAATCGGGCTCATGATACACTCTAGCCTCCAACAGGGTAAAACGAGCTCGAGATATGATTGCAAAAGATTGGAATCGAAGCAAGGATATCCTCGAGTTAGAGTACGGGGGCCGACCATCAACCCTCGATAATATCGGGGTTATTATTCGAGATCGACCTAAAACTTGAAGGACATCGGAGAGCGTCGTCGGGTAATCAAGCGCGGCCAACAGGAGGCCGTAATATCCGTGACCGTCCGGATATCACGGCGTGAATTTCGGCACGTATCGATGTAGAACCGGCAATCAATTAAACAAAAGATTTTTTTTACCTTTTATAAAGTTATACTTAGAGTAAGATTCCTCTACTATATAAATGGGGCTAATAATTCATTAATCAAGTTGTAACACGTATTCCAAAGCAATATACTATTGTTTCCACTGTTGTTCTAAGCTTTTCTTTCATTCATCAATATTGACTATTGTGAACCCGGATCTTGGGCAAATAGTTCATTAAGGCTGAAGACATCATCCCCGCGTGGTTTGGATTTATTGTATTTCTATTTGTTCGTTTTATCCAATTTATCGTTTTGTATCAAATTAATCCGTGTATCCTTTAAACCGCTTACAAATTTAATTGTTATCCGATTTTGAAGGTAAACACTAACCGTTGCATTTTTTTTTTAAGATGCAGAAATGACCTATAAATATGGACTATTACACGTTTATTTCAAAAATGAAAATTTGGATAAAAATACCCGATAATTTTGTAAAATGGGTAAATTTTATTACAAGCAACAATGCAAGTAACGAAATGGATCAAGACATTTCAAATTTGAAACTCTGTTAAAAAGATCCATGAAGCACAGTGAGGATTGAAAATCAAAATAGAAAAAATTAAAGAAGAAAAAAGTGGTACGAAATTTTACTTTTTGTGTAATACTGCGTAAATTATTGACTGTTAAACAGTACTAAGTACTAATTGAGGGTCTTTCTTTTGCTTTTTCATTCCATTGTATTCCTATCGGGAAGTGGGCGTTTGGACGTAAGAATGGTAAAATTCCGGAAAAAAGCGAAAAAAAAATTTAAAGTCAAAATGTTATTTGAAATTAGAATTGTGTTTGGTCATGGTTGTTTTTGAAGTTTTGTAAGTGATCTGAGTAAAAATTTTAAAAATAAGCCTTTTGAAGTTTTTTAAATTTTTTAAAAATTTCAAAATTCATCTTGAAAATTTAAAAATTTAGCCAAACATTGATTTCGAGAAAAAATGAAAATTTTTCGAAAAAAATAAAATTTTTCTTATGTGTCCAAACGAGCTCGGCCTCCCTAGCAAACTCTAAATCCAAAACTTACAATTAAGGATAATGAGATCCTTCGGTGGTATCTAGGGCAGAGGCGGATCCAAAATAATAATTACGGTATCCGTGCTCTTGTCTAAATTATATATCTGTATTGAAAAATTTATTAGAATATTTACTTTGTAACCTAATTCATCGATTCAGTTATTATTATTTATTAACTTCACATTGTTTAGCAACCCATAAACTAAAAATTGTGTATGCGCGGACGATCATTTTTGAGTTTTTGAAGATTCATCACTTGGGTTAAGAGGGTTCTCCATCTCATCCAAAGATGGCGGGTATTATTTCCCCAATCCAAAATTATAAGGGGTTAACTGGAATTTACTTTCTAAGTTTCCTCAATCTCAAATCTTCCATGTAACCGGTGGGTAACTCCCAAAAAAGGAAAAATTTACCGTGGAAGAAATCGGCGATCAATTTCCGATTAATCCTTCTCAGGTTAAATTTCGTCGATGAAACGGCAATGGGTGATACTGGTATTTTCCGGTTTTACGGGTTCGGCGAGTGATTTATTGAGCTCGCCGAGTAGTTCATTTGGGAGAATTACCGACTAGGTTAATGTAGCTCCGGCGAGGAGGTCTCTCTTATCAAATTCAAGGTTAGTTTGTAGTCTTCAGATTTTGAAAATATTACATTGTAATGGCTGGTAATTTTTTTATTTAGTAATTTGTGCAAATGCATAGGGATATACGGAGCTTTTCCTAAAATTCTCAGCAAGTCCGTCCATTTATTAAGATTTAGAAATGAGGCAAGGCTTATGCTTTATTATTACTGCTATTGGAGGATTTTTCTTCTTCTTCCAAATGGCTGGACTGGGGAAGTCTGGAGGGCAAAGTTCATGGGCTTAATTGGAATGATACAGAACTGCTTTTGTTGCAAGTACCTGGAACCTTTCCAATTTCAAGGCACTCTTTCATAAAAAAGATGAAAAATTATATTTTGGAGCTTTTGCACCTATGAACTTGTAAAAAAAAAAATCAATAAATCGTATCCTTACTTGTAAAAGTGAATATTCCTGAGCCATAGGTAGATCTGATCATATCAGCCAAGAGAGGAAATTGCAGAAATGCAAATAAAGTTATAGGAATACTAGCAAGTACTGCCACTGGGGTGATAATCCAGGCCATTTGATGCCCAAGTACGATGAAAAAACTTGAACTAAATGCTACTAGCATCGCTGCTATAGCAACAAAGAGCGCGATGAAGCCAAGGATTAACCTTTTTGGTAAAGTACTCAGGAAGTCTTCTTCGGCATAGCGTGAAGTGAGGATGGACAAGAACATCAATATTGAGGTTACTGAAGAAAACAGTGCCAGTGCATCCGTTATAGAGAAAAGAATGAATGTTTTCTCTTTAAGAAAAATGGGGGTGCCTGTATCATCGTTGTTTCCTCCTGGCACGGTAAAGATTGCTGCAAACATTACTGTTGTAATTAGTGCAGCAACAAGCATGCAAGATGATGCAGTTTCCTTCATCCACTTCTCTCCTTCTTTGACCAATTCCTTGTGTTCTTCAGCGAACAACATTCCAGGTGTTCGACCTTTTAAGTCTCTCATCTCCTTATACGAGGCTTGAACAATTGTCTTAACTTCCTTTGGAAATGAGAAGAAGTAATATCTTATGAAATATAGAAAGAGAGTATGCGTGATAGGGAAGCAGCATTTCACCAGATGTGGAAATTACCTTAAACCACAATAACTCCCGCTGCATCTGGAGTGCTGCACCTGAAACAATACCAAGTCGATTTGTAGGAGCCAACTTTGCTGCCAAGTGTAAAATGTTCTCATTATTTCTACTTTTATAGGACGTAATTATATCCTTGTGTGCTCCTATGTTGTAGATAAGTTTGTAGATCTTTTCTTGGCGGTGAATGACTGCAATGTGAAAGATGCTCCGGCTTTCCTCATCAACCTTCCAAATGAGATCTGGATAAGACTGAATAAGCTCAACTATGAACTTAAAATTTCCCAACTCTGCTGCTACAAACAATGGCCGCGACGGACTTCTAAGTAAGTTCCCTATTTGTGAATCATTCAACAAGAGAACTTCTTTCCATGAACATTTTACCAATTCAAGTGCTTGTAAGTGCATTAATTTTGTCTCCAGAACTTCTTTGACTCCTAGTGTTGAAAATTTGCAGATTAGGTATTTAGTTTTACAGGTACAGAGAATAATAATCTAGAACTTGGGACCACGTCATATGTGCCATACCTAATGTTTTTAGTAGATGCTGAATGAACGCGTAAGCTGCAACTTCACAAATGTTTAGGATCAGTTGGTTATAGAAATGCTATTACAGAGAAGATAAATGTCTCAACTGGGACAAGTATACAACATACCCTTAGTGTTATTTTTTATCCTTGATCCGCTGGACATGTTGCTTGATCTATTCTGCAAATGAACAGAGACATCTATAGGAAGTTCCATTAATTTTTTTTTTTGGGATCAGGCAGGATGTTCCATTGATCTAATGATATATATAAATATATATCTTAATTCATTTCGATTTGGATAGAAATGGAGAACTTACATGCGTAAAGAAATCTTTGCCAGATTCCAAGTTCAATTTTGTCAGAAAATGCCAAGGGCTTTCGTGCTAAAACATGAAGTATTGTGTCTCCATTTTGATCTCGTTCAATGCCTAATTCAGGCATGTGCTGAAGTATATGTAAAGCAACATCTGTTCACAGCGATGTAAGTAAATAGCTGTTTTAAGTTCCTCTGAGAGTTCAACTTTACGTTGGTTGTGCAATAACATAAATGGCAACACTAATTTATCGAAACAAGTAACTGGCCATATTAAATTTATCAAGTTCTCATTTTCGAAAAGCAATTTGGAACCGGAATATGTTCTTACCAAATAGATTGGAGTTTATAGTAGCAATCAGCAGGCTGATATAGTCGTCTTTGCATAGATACTGATGATCTGTCACTGAATAAAGATACCACACCATCTCTCTGTGCCCTAGTAGAGCAGCCATGTGCAGTGGTGTGACTCCCTTGCTGCCCCTCACTATTGGCAAGAATTGATTTTTCATTACCATAACTTTTGCGATCCTTGTGAGTCCAGATGCAGCAGCAAAGCAAAGTGCAGTATTATCATATTTGTTTTGCAGTGCCAGTTCCAGTGGACTCATAAGTTTAACCAGTTCTTCAACAAACTGAACCTTGTTAGCCCCGGCTGCAATATGAAGAGCAGTCTCCCACCCTTTGGTAATCCTGGCAGATGTTGCACCAGGGTGCAGACTGAAAAATTCTCTAGCCTTCTCCCAATCACCTCCTAGTGCTGCTTGGCAAAGTGGCACATACATGGTAAGGTTTATAGGTTTAGTCCCTGCAAGTGGTGTGACTTTACTCTGTTAATTAATCATGTGAAAAAAGAAAGATGAGAATCTACTCTTTCCCGCTCTCATTGGTTGTATCTTGTTTCATAAAGGAGGCTCTTTGTGAAGTTCTCTTACAGGCTTTCTCTCTTATAGATGATTATCCATGTTCATGGTTCAGTTAAGTATATCTGAATGTCCATTTCCTGAGAATTCACCAGATCTGTCTGTTGTTTCAGCTGATAGATATTGGCTAAAATTGATGCTTGTTACTTTGTTTTTGATTTATCTAGATATGGTTTTTGTAACTTGTTCAACATACTTTTTGAATGAGAGCAAGTGGATTAGGTGATATGTGAACTGACCCAAATGTTCGGGCCTAACCGGGTAGCATAGAGTGGTGTAGGATAGACTCACATAAGGGATAGGCTGGGGTCTATGTTCAACATGCCGTAGGACAGGGTAAATTCTATACTCTTGGAGAAGATATAACATGGTTTAACTTCTAGATACTGGCAGCGTAATCACCTAAAAGATAAGTAGATAACTAGTATTAATAAAGGAAGCTGGTAATAACATATTACAACAGGTTAAAGTGCACTAATAATGCAAAAAATATTTACAATGTGAATGTGTGTAAGTTAAATCCTAACATATAATCTAGAGCACGTCCATAATCTGACTTCGTGACTAACCTTTACCTTTCCCAGGTTCACCCCATTATACAAAAACAAAGCATATATAGAAATTAAAAGCATTGAGAAATATATTTTGCTTAACTGGGCCTGAGGAAGGAAGTGGGAAGTGTCTGAGGAGCAGGAGCGATTGGCCTAGAGACAGCTTCCCTTTGAATGGGAGAAGGCAGCACTGTAGAATCAGCTTGACCAATTCCCTGATTTAATTGAATTGCAATATGCTGCGGAGTAGAGCTGCTTGTATTGAAGCTGCTGTTTCTCAAAGATACCCCTTCTGACGTTGCTGTAGTGCTTGGTACTGAGTTTCTTTGCGGGAAACATGTTGGAATTGAAAGTGTACGTTCCAGTTGTAGTTTTCGGATGTTTTCCATGTTAAAACTCTACATACACACTTTGAGGATTTAAAGTAGAATTTTGTTGCTTATCTTTTGTTCTTCACTTGGAACTTGAAGTTGTTGACTTCCTGACAAGTCTGTTGAGGTCTTTTAAGTCATGATGCAGCTCATGTCAACTGAAAATTTCATTGAAACTTCTTCTTAGCATGTTGTCAAAGTCAGTCAACTGAAAAGTTACAAAGAAATTTCTCATTTACATGTCAATGTTTAATGGTCCCATCCACAGGTTCTTCGAAACTTTGGAGATTAACACGGAAAATACATCTTGATCTTGCCAAGTGTGGTACTTATTATTTTGTCCTATTATGCTGCTGTACTTTTTCAAGATCGCCATAGTCACTCTCAACTTTTGGACTTTTTCTTCTTTCTGTGCTTTCATACGGTTGCTAATTTGCTATCTCCCGCGTTTAATTTAGTAAGTATTAGCACTATCTTTTTTTGGCTTTATGTTTGCTTTTATTTTTACTTTTCTGTTTTGCAATTTCTTTTGGGTGAATGAGGCCTCCCGTTTGCGGGGTCCATTTACCATGGAGAGATTTCGCGTTATTATGAATTCTATCAATTTTGTTGATCAAGCCATTTTGCCGACATATTATTTACTGGAATTCAGAATGAAATATATCACTCACTCTTGATTGCATTTTATGTGTCTTAGATCGGCCGAGCACGAAATTTACAAATGTAAAGAGGATTTGTGATTTTACGGTGTTAAAGTAAAGTGTTAATTTCAGAGTTCATTCCTCAGGTTTGGCTTTACGTTTACCTCCTTTATTTTAATTTTCTTGTAACCATTTTTTTCACTTATTTATTATTAATGTAAAAAGATTATAATTTAACCCTTTCTAACATTAAACTCTTTTACTTAATTAATGAGGTAGTTTAGTACATGGAGTTATCTCCTTTAGTAAGGGAACCAATAAAGAAAAATTAAAACTACGTACTGGAACACAAAGAGATGTTATTTCATATTATTTATAACAAGAAACTAAATTAACTTCATAGTTGGGAGAACAATTCAAGGGGCATGCTGTGAAAGAAAAGAAGAATATTTAAGGGATACGGATGCTAGGATTTGGAGATGCATATTGCAGAAATTCCTCATCATTCGCCAACTCAAGAATTTCCTCCTTATTTCTCAGGATCCAGGCCTCAATTCCATCACTACTCCGTCCACTTTCCACAAGAATAACTATTTGGACATGTCCCAATGAACAAGTAGGATCCAAGAGAGGAGCAACCCAAATAGGTTTTCCCCATCCAAAATCAACATCGTCAAGTCCAAAACGACACCAGCTTGTGAACATCTAGTTATCTGTTTTGTCAAAAGAGTTAATAGTATCTGTGGCCAAATTCACTAGATAAGTAAAGGAAGCATCACCTTCCATATCCTTCAAGTTTTCACCATTTGAAAAGGTCTCAAACACTTCTCTCACTAATCCCACAAGCTGAGACAGATCAATATTATCACTCATTGTTATTTCTGACTCGTAAAATGTAGTTGCAAACCAAACTACATTCCCAAAAGCATTAGGCAATGGTGGATGCAGCCTTGGCCTCAAGTTCACAGCTTGATTTAGCATGCAGCTGGGGCTTGAGCTTCCCTTTACTGCTCTACTTGCTAACATCATATGCTTCCATATGAAAGCTGTCAATGCCTCCACACGCGTCGGTTTAGGCACTGAACTACTGGATCCAGCTTTCAGTTTGATAGCTGCAATTTCTTTAGAATCAAAGACAATTCTTCTTTGGAGGAACTGATCTCCCTCCTTGAAAAATACAGTTTTGAGAAATGCCGATAACTCTTGTGGTAAATGGTTCTGAGGGGGAAAGAGTAGTGATGATGATGTGAAATCAAGAGGCGCCGATGGTATGATCCTCTCTCGTGCAATGTTAGCCCAAGTGTTGAGAAATGCACTCATTGTGTTTGCATCTGATACTAAATGAAACATGCTTGCCCCGATTGTTATTCCTCCACAGTCAAATCTAGTAACATGTAAAGAAACTAATTGAGTGTTATCATCATTACTTTCAACATTTATCATCAGTTTCTTGAGTTGTGAGAGATCAGGGTTCTCAAGAAAATGACTAAGACGCGTCTTCGCTTGAGCCTCAACGTAAACAACTCCAGTGTCATTGCAGTCTACAAAAGTTGAACCTTCTTTTAATTCTCCAGCAAGTGGATAAAACAGAGTTAGTGTCTCTGAAAGGGCATTCTTGAGGTTATTTTGATTTTGTGCGTGTGGTATTTTCGTAGAAGAGGACAATTTTGATTCTTATTGGCGGTTGAATTGGGTCTAAAAAGCATAGTTTGTGGTTTTTTAGGTTTGGAGGTGTAGGTTTGGACGGCTTCACTTTTTCCTTAGAGAGGATAATTGTTTCCATTGCTAATTGAGCTAAGCTCCTACTGATTTTTCAAACGATGATAGCTTACACTAGTTTGATGCCAGTTTGGTTCATTATATTGGCAATTAATGATATTCTTGGGTGATGGGTACATCTCATCAAAAATCAAAGTAATAGGCATGTGCCTAAGGAAAATATTTGGCTGAATTTTTTTTTGGTCTGGTAGCCTGACTTTGTTGAATTTCTTTGGTTTGGTAGCCAACTTTGTTGAATTGTAACATTGAAGAGAAAGAAGGAAAAGTGTACAAATTGTCAAATATAGTAGGCTTAAGAGAGTGAGGCTTCGGCTATAAAAAGAGAACTTCAGCTCTCATTTCTACACACCAACAAAAAGAGAAAGAAAGAGTGAGGTTTCACACACAAGGTATAAGAAAATAGTCTATGAGCAAAATAGAGAGTGAGCGATATTGTAATGAGGTGGGAATATCAAAAGAAGGTTATTTCTTTTTTGTGTTGTAGTGGTGTTTGGAGTATTTTAGTCGGACCAACAAAGTGTAAAATTCCTTGCTATAGTGATATCAGTTGCTCGTCTTGGGGTCGTGGTTTTTCCCTTATTCAAAAGGGTTTTTTCACGTAAAAATCTTGGTGTCGTTGTCACTCTTTTATTCTTGTTAATTACCGTATCTCGTTGCTACGTTATTATTCAGCTTTTATTACTGTGAATATTATTTCTGTAAGGAGTTTATTCCCAACAACTGGTATCAGAGCACTGGTTCTGCTTGCTCACAGAAGTACTATTCACTGTCGATAGTACTATACTCGGTGAAAAAAATATGTCAGGAGTAAAGTACGAGGCAGCAAAATTCAACGGAGATAACGGTTTCTCAACATGGCAAAGAAGGATGAGGGATCTGCTCATTCAACAAGGATTACACAAGGTACTTGATACCATGAAAGCTGAGGATTGGGCTGACTTGGATGAAAGGGTTGCTAGTGCAATCAGGTTGCACTTATCAGATGATGTGGTAAATAACATCATTGATGAAGACACCGCACGTGGAATTAGGACAAGGTTAAAAAGCCTATACATGTCCAAAACGCTAACAATAAATTACTTGAAGAAGCAGCTATACGCCCTACACATAAGTGAAGGTACAATTTTTTTGTCACATTTAAATATGTTTAACGGATTAATCACATTGCTCGCCAATCTCGGAGTGAAAATCGAGGAAGAAGATAAAGCCATCTTGTTGTTGAACTCGTTGCCATCTTCGTACGATAATATTACAACCATCCTGCACGGTAAGACTATTATTGAGTTGAAAGATGTCACATCGGTTCTTCTATTCAATGAGAAGATGAGAAAGAAGCATGAAAATCAAGGACAGACTCTCATTACAGAATGTAGAGACAGGAGTTATCAAAGGAGTTCGTGCAACTATGGTAGATCCGGAGCTCGTGGGAAGTTTAAGAACCGATCCAAATCAAGAGCCAGAAATTGCTACAATTATGATCAACCAGGTCACTTCAAAAGAGATTGCCCATATCTAAGGAAGGGAAAAGGTGAAAGAAGTGGCAAGAAGAATAATGACAACACAACTATCATGGTTCAAAACAATGATAATGTTGTCATCTTTATAAATGAGGATGGGGAATGCATTTACTTGTCAGGTCCAGAGTCGGAATGTGTGGTTAATACAGCAACATGTTACCATGCCACACCGGTAAAAGATCTTTTTTGTAGATATGTAGTAGGTGATTTCGGCACTGTAAGAATGGGTAACACAAGTTACTCAAAGATTGCGGGGATCGGTGATATTTGTATCAAGACAAATGTCGAATGCACATTGTTATAAAGGACGTGCGACATGTACCTGATTTGCGGATGAACTTGATCTCGGAAATTGCTTTAGACCGAGATGGATACGAGAACTATTTTGCAAATCAAAAGCGGAGACTCACCGAGGGATCATTGGTAATTGCAAAGGGAGTTGCTCGTGGCACGTTGTACATGACAAATGCAGAAATATGCCAAGGTGAATTGAACGCGGCACAAGAAGAGATTTCTGCAGATTTGTGGCACAAAAGAATGGATCATATGAGCGAGAAAGGATTGCAGATTCTTGCCAGGATATCACTCATTTCTTATGCCAAAGGTACAACGGTAAAACCTTGTGACTACTTTTTATTTGGTAAGCATCATAGAGTCTAATTCCAGACGATGTCTGAAAGAAAATTGAATATACTTGATTTCGTATATTCTGATATTTGTGGTCTAATAGAAATTGAATCGATGGGCGGTAACAAATATTTTGATACTTTTATTGGCGATGCTTCACGAAAATTATGGATTTATTTTTTTAAAAGCAAAGATCAAGTGTTTCAATTTTTTTGGAAGTTTCATGTTATAGTGGAAAGGGAGACATGCCAAAAGCTAAAGCGTCTCCGAAGTGACAATGGAGGTGAGTACACTTCAAGGGAATTTGAAGAATATTGTTCGAGCCATGGGATCAGACATGAAAAAATAGTTCCTGGAACCCCATAACACAATGGCTTAGCCGAAAGGATGAACCGCACCATTGTGGAGAAGGTGAGAAGTATGCTCAGAATGGCTAAACTACCTAAGTCATTCTGGGGTGAAGCAGCTTAGACAACTTGTTACCTGATCAATAGGAATCCATCAGTTCCGTTGGCGTTTGACATCCCAAAGAGAGTTTGAACCAACAAGGAGGTGTCTTACTCGCATATGAAGGTGTTCGATTGCAGAGCTTTTGCACATATACCAAAGGAGCAGAGAAAAAAGCTGGATGATAAATCTATTCCCTGCATATTCATCGGATATGGAGATAAAGAGTTCGGATACAGATTGTGGAATCCTGTAAAGAAGAAGGTCATCAGAAGCAGAGATGTAGTCTTCCATGAAAGTGAAGTTGGAACGGCTGATGATATGCCAGAGAAGGACAAGAATGGTATAATTCCTAACTTTGTTACTATTCCTTCTACTTCTAACAACCCCACAAGTGCAGAAAGTAGGACCGACGAGGTTGCCGAGCAGGGGGAGCAACCTGGTGAGGTTATTGAGCAGGGGGAGCAACTTGATGATGATGTCGAGCAAGTGGAACACCCCCACTCAGGGAAAAGAACAACCTCAACCTCAACCTCTTAGGAGATCAGAAGGCCAAGGGTAGAGTCATGTAGGTACCTTGCCACAGAGTATGTCCTTGTCAATGATGAGGGAGAGCCAGAAAGTCTTAAAGAGATGTTGTCCCGTACAGAAAAGAACCAGTGGATGAAAGCCATGCAAGAGGAGATGGAATCTATGTAGAAAAATGGCACGTACAAGTTGGTTGAACTTCCAAAGAGTAAAAGACCATTCAAATGTAAGTGGGTCTTTAAAATCAAGAAAGATGGAAATGACAAGCTGGTCAGATACAAAGCTCGATAGGTGGTTAAAGGCTTCGAACAGAAAAAAAGTATTGATTTTGACGAAATTTTCTCAACTGTTATCAAAATGACTTCTATTCGAATAATTTTGAGCTTAGCAGCTAACCTAGATCTTGAAGTGGAGCAGTTGGATGTGAAAACTGTATTTCTTCATGGAGATTTGGAAGAGGAGATTTACATGGAGCATCCAGAAAGATTTGTAGTAGCTGGAAAGAAACACATGGTGTGCAAATTGAATAAGAGTCTTTATGGATTGAAGCAGGCACTAAGGCAATGGTATATGAAGTTTGATTCATTCGTGAAAAGTCAAACATACATAAAGACCTATTCTTATCCATGTGTATACTTCAAAAGATTTTCTGAGAATAACTTTATTATATTATTTTTGTATGTGGATGACATGTTAATTGTAGGAAAAGACAAGGGGCTGATCGCAAAGTTGAAGGAAAATTTGTCCAAGTCATTTGATATAAAGGACTTGGGCCCAGCACAATAAATTCTGGGTATGAAAATAGTTCGAGAGCGAACAAGCAGAAAGTTGTGATTGTCTCAGAAAAAGTATATTGAACGTGTACTGGAACATTTCAACATGAAGAATGCTAAACTAGTCAGCACACCTCTTGCTGGTCATCTGAAGTTGAGCAAGAAGATGTGTCCTACAATAGTAGAAGATAAAGGGAACATGGCTAGAGTTCCTTATTCTTCAGCTGTCGGAAGCTTGATGTATGCAATGGTATGCACCAGACCTGATATTGCTCATGCAGTTGGTGTTCTCATCAGATTCCTTGAAATTTCTGGAAATGAACATTGGGAAGCAGTCAAGTGGATACTCAGGTACCTAAGAGGTACTGTAGGAGATTGCTTGTATTTTGGAGGATCTGATCCAATTTTGGAGGGATACACGGATGCTGATATGGCCGATGGTACTGATAATAGAAAATTTACTACTGGATATCTATTTACTTTTTCAGGGGGAGTTATATCATGGCAGTCTAAATTGCAGAAGTGTGTTGCACTTTCAACAATTGAAGCAGAGTACATTGCTACTACAGAAGCTAGTAAAGAGATGGTATGGCTCAAGCAGTTTCTTCAAGAGTTGGAATTGCATCAAAAAGAGTATGTCGTCTATTGTGACAGTCAAAGTGCAATAGACTTGAGCAAGAACTTCATGTACCATGCAATTACAAAGCATATAGATGTGAGATATCATTGGATTCATGAGAAGGTTAAAAAGATTCACACGAGTAAAAATCCTGTTGATATGTTGACCAAGGTGGTACTAAGAGACAAGTTCGAGCTATGCAAAGAACTTGTCGTCGTGCACTCAAACTAGAAGACAATGCTACATCCTCTAGATGAACGGGACTGTATGGGGAGATTGATGGGGTCCATCTCATTCAAAAACCAAAGTAATAGGCATGTGCCTAAGGAAAATATTTGGCTGAAATTTTTTTTGGTTTGGTAGCCTAACTTTGTTGAATTTCTTTGGTTTGGTAGCCAACTTTGTTGAATTGTCAACATTGAAGAAAAAGAAGCAAAAGTCTGTGCAAATTATCAAATATAGTAGGCTTTAGAGAGTGAGGCTTCAGCTATAAAAGGAAAGTTTCAACTCTCATTTCTACACACCAACAAAGAGAGAAAGAAAGAGTGAGGTTTCACACACATGGTATAAGAAAATAATCTGTGAGAAAAATAGAGAGTGTGCGATATTGTAGTGAGGCGAGAATATCAAAAGAATGTTATTTCTTTTAAGTGTTGTAGTGGTCTTTAGAGTATTTTACTCGGACCAACAAAGTGTAAAATTCCTTGCTATAGTGATATCAATTGCTCGTCTCGGGACCATGGTTTTTCCCTTATTCAAAAGGTTTTCCACGTAAAAATCTTGATGTCGTTGTCACTCTTTTATTTTTGTTAATTATCGTATCTCGGTGCTACGTTATTATTCTGCTTTTATTATTGTGAATATTATTTCTGTAGGGGGTTTATTCCCAACATTGGGGACTCCAAACCGTACATCAAAATTTTATTTTAGTTAGTAATTTTTCTTTAAAAGATCTAATAGAGTAATATTCAAGCTAATGCAAATTAATGCAGTTGAAATGAAACATGTGATCACAGGGCTTGAGCATGATCGAGGTAAAAAGTAAAACACCTCACATGTATATAACTTGCATGGGAGGAGAGTATCCTTTTTATTAATTAGATTTGTTCATTTATTATTCCTAGTTTTATTTATTATTTTTGAAGAATTAAAGAGGAACATGTTACTTTGTATGAGAAAGATCATTAGCCTAAAGGCTCCTTAATTTGTGTGCAACTTTTCATTTCTATGCGATGAGAAAGAGGGTGCTTCTTTTGAAATTCTATAAATTTCCTTGAGCATCGAGCTCAGTTTTTAGTAGTATTCAGCGTTTCATAAACTAAAAATTTTAAAGATAAATTATTTTTAAATAAAAAAATATTTTTTTTGGTATTGACTAAAAAGATAAGAGTACCCCACGAGATAAGACGAGAGAACATGAAATAAGCTCCAAAGTTTATCACTTATCTTTTGATATTTTATGTTTATTCATAAATTGTTTAATTCTATTAGAAAAGATACAATTTGATTTTCTTAGGGAAAAATGAAAAAGTTTCTGTTTAAATTATTCATCTTGCAAAAATATTATTTTTCTTATAGTTGTTAGTTAATTAGCTTCAAACAAAATTTACATTCTTCATAACTCAAAAAATATTCGAACTTGTCTTCCTATTGATATTGAACTGCTGTAGCTAAATTTTAATTATTTATGGGATTCGATTCTGAACTCTTGAACTGAATACATTTGCAGCGATCACTTATACTTTTTTAGAAGTAGAGTTGGGTGTGATTAAATAGTCAACACTTTTGTCATTTCCTAGACAAAAGTGAGTTGCTCTAGTGGTTAGCACCATCCACTTCCAACCAAGAGGTTGTGGGTTCGAGTCACCCCAAGAGCAAGGTGGGGAGTTCTTGGAGAGAGGGAGCCGAGGGTCTATCGGAAACAGTTTCTCTACTCTAGGGGGTAGGGGTAAGGTTTCCTCAGACCCCACTAGTGGGATTATACTGGGTTGTTGTTGTT